CGCGCGTGAAAAATTTACAGAATAGCACTGCAGATTCGTTGTGAAAAATGAGATAAATTCAAGCTACAATATTTCCTTTTCTTTATTTAAAATAAATATATTTTAATATCGTTAATAAACCAACCAAGAAAAAGTATAGTCAGTAAGACAAATATAGTGATGACTATTAAATAATTTCGATAGTAGTAAAAGTTTTAATTCACATCTATATATAGATACTATCTAAAGTTTTTATAGAATGCGGATATTTATAACGTTTGAGAATATTTTCGAATCAGGGTCGTTCTTATTTAGATATACTCGTACGTATATATAATCAACACATTCTCATTTCTAAAAATATAATTTATTCTTAAGACGTCTAAGCCCAAATATATATCATTATTAATCTCTGTCAGGATAATCAATTAGATAAAGTAAGAAGACCTTAAGCGTAAAAAAGGAATAAATGAGCATATTATGGATGACGAATGGAATTGGCATCCGAAGGATTGTAGAGCCTGCCCTTTCTTTTGGAGTCGATTTAATACGACCTTTTATCAAATAGACAATAAAGTCGATTAAAAATAGCACAACTAAACACTACTATATCTGGGACAAAACTGAAGCACCTGAAAATTTTATGTTATATTTATGGGAAAACGTCCAAATTCCAAATCAACTTCTCTTGCGGAATCGAAATGCAATCAAATGGCTAAACGCTTAAGCCTATTTTTCCGCTTGGGTGAGAGCACAAAGAGGTTTATCTGGGCGATCGGTTTTCTTAGCTTCTTGCGAAACATAATTCACGATTAATTGCAAGCCTAATTGGCTGCAAATATTTCGCATGTTGAGATTCAAGTAATGCAAAATCTAACTGTATATGTCATGTAGTATTTATTACGTATGTTAAAAAGTCATAATTTATCCTTTTCTGAATAAAGTACCTACACCAACACACATTTTCGACACTGAACATTAGTTTGCAGTGGGTTAATGAAATTGTTCCCTAAAATGTTCTATGGTGTTACATTAACTTGATAATCTAGTGTTTGACGATAGTAATTTTGCCTACCTTGAATGTAAATACCTTTTCTATTTCATCTATTTTACCTCTAATGTGGATCCGCAATAAAGTAGGCTGATATCGTGTATTTTGGGATGCTGATATCATGTGTTTCGGAATTTCGTTTGTAAAATAAAATTGCGTGCATTGAGAACTGCTGCATTCTGCCGGCAGCCCTATACGAAATTGATGTTATGAGCGGTGGTCGACAGCGGGCGCCGGGCGTAGAGAGTAGGGCCAGTGGTGCGACCAAATTCCTCAACGCTTTCTCTGCCGAGTCGCGCACTCCGGCCGTCGCCGAAGCCGCACGCACGCCGCGCCGCGCTGCTTGCACGCAGCCAACGAAAGTGAGCGCCGCATGCGGTCCGCGCTGTCATCGCATTGCATAATTACAAACCAACCATTGTTTGTAAACACACTACAACAATCATTGGACAAATTGCGTGACCGTATTTTGATTAGATACGCGCATACCAACTCAGATAACTAATTATAGGCATCGCTAAATCTAATTTAATTCGTGTTTCGCTTTTTCGCCACATTCCACGTGGTGTTGCGTTTGCTGATGAAGATGTGATCGACATCTTTATCGCTGATGAATGCGAATTACGTTAACCTTTCTCTTTATGGCATGCGTAATCGTGTTAATAATCTACTTCTAAGTAGGTACCTATCTGCAATCACAACTGTAGCAAATAACTTATCTTTGTAATAGTTATACTACCTATAGTATGAATAGGGTTTGTTTAATTTAGCTCGTGAACATTTCAGCAGGGTTGTAAGCCGGATAAACGTCAAATAGTAGGTCGGCGAAATTCACTCGGATCGTTTCTTCACTAGTCAGGCACTCAAAGATAGCTCTGCTTTCCCATCAAGTTAAATTCCATTGTCGTGATATTGTATAGGTAAAGGTGCATTTGTGGGTGATATTCTATAGGTAAAGGTGCAACAAAGAAATTGAAAAATCGATTTTGAATCAAAATCGAAAAGAAATTGAGTCTATAAAAAAAACTACTATATAACTACACATTATTTTGTATTTATCATTCGTTTTTTAAGTATGAATTTCGCTTTGAAGCTTTCAGGGAAATTTTAGAGAACGGGTTTTGTTGATTATTTTGGTAGTTGAGATGACGAGAACAAGGTTTGTGTGAAAATTTGCGAAAGAAAAACAAACTACTCATAATAGTTAGTGCCTTGCGCCTGTGCGTTATAAGCAGGGACATATAATTTAAGTTTGTAATAAAAGTACTTACAATTAATAAATGAAGATAAACATGATATGTAAGATAATAGAATTAAATTTGGGTTTAACCAAAATATAGTCTTTCGAGACTATATTCCAAATTCTGTTGATTCATATAAAAAAAAATTAGCACGCTGAAAAATAAATATGCATTTAAAAATTATAAATATAATGAGACAGATGTACTGACAAACAAACCGACAGACTAACGGCACGTGACTGAGAGTATTGATGTCGAGTTCCGGTTTAAAGAATGAAAAGATTGATAAGACATTAAGCATGACAGCTGCAAATCACGAGGACGGCGGCGAGGCGGACTCTATTCGAAAAGACTTAGGGTTATTTTAATTTTTCATTAACTTGAGCCTTACAATGCACAATAAAGGTAGGTACGTACAACAACTGACCGAGGAACCGTGTTCAAATTGTCAATGATGCTTTTATCGCAAAACCAGTCCGACGGTATAACAATGGTTATCCTTTGTAGTTCGAATTTAAAGGGGGTCACTTTGGTATAGCTTTGCTGCACAAGGCTGGTCGCATCGCATTACTACCTACACTTAAGTACAAAGTAGAATGTGTACCATTTTTTCAAAGTTACCTTTACCTACTAGTGAGAACGAAAAAAGGGCCACTTGTAAATTTTAACATCGGGACTGATATTAATATAATTATTTTAAAGCGTTCTTATCTCTTGTGTACTATATATTTCCTTGATGAGCGTTAATGAGCTTAATTGAAGTCATTATGGGATAGATGTTTCTGAACACGGTTATTTCTAACTTAATGTTTCGTTTTATGAAAATAATTAGTAATATATAACTACGATGAAAATTATATTTTAGCAGAGTTGTACCTAAAATTCAATACAATATCAATGTTTTGGAGTGCCATTCTTTGCTATATTGTGTAGTATGATAATATACATATTGATATTGAGCATTTCAAAGACGTTTTATTTTTATTATTAACTCGAATTGAATAGCATCGTTGAGCCATATTCGATAGAAAAGTAATAATGAATTTACTACAGACAAAGATATTAAGAATTCCACTTAAAGGTCCAATCATTAATATAGTGTACCCTACATACCCGTCATACAAAAGTATATGGCAGTTTTTTCTCCAATTACTTATGTCTAGTAAAGATGCAGCAATTTGTACGGATGTGTGTGAATCAAGCAATGTCATCTGGTCTGCGCTGGAATGTGATCCACCCACAAGGCCAGATGCCACCGCAGCTGTAACGCTTCGGAAGCAGACGATTCATTGAATTGAGTCCGATCAATTGACATTCTTCAATTATAAGAGTTCGTTAATGTTTCACGAAAAGTTTTAAATAAGTACTATTAGACCAAACAAATTAGATTTTTCAAAGAATTAATTTCCAGTAAGGTGGAAATAGTTTTCATACCTTCATTTTATCCTAAATACATGTAATCCTAATTTGCGTAATTCCAGCTCTGCCCACCATACACTAAAGTGCAGTAACAGCAAAATCACGATTTCGAGTAAAACGCATTTAAAGTTAAGAATTGATTTTAAAAAATCAACAGAATGTATAAGCAAAAAAATTTGAATGCAGAAAGGTTGTAAAGGCATAGGTTCACACGTTAAAGCAATAAAAAAAATATATCTTAATAACTGAATTTATTATGGCCATTTATTCTTTTTGGTGCCTATTACTGCATAGCCTTTTTTGTAAAAAATACCATTTTAAACTTAGTAAAATGCAGCAAAAAGCCCTATTACTGCGTTTGGATCAGTTATTTTGTCAAGAAACCCAACTAACATGCAGTAAGGTCAAAAAAATACTGCATTTTAGTTAGTTTTTTAAGAAAAAATCCCAATTAAAATGCAGTATTTAAAACATTAACTGCACTTTAGCTAGGAATAATCATATCTGTGTCATTATGCTATCCAAACTAATCTGCAGTAATGCTGTATTTTACTGCGTGTTAGTCAGTTTATAATGATAAAAGAATGTTAAGTATTCACAACTAAAATGCGACAAGCTTTGATTTTACTGCATTTTAGTTGGGAGTTCGTGACAATAAATTGTATTTTCTTAATTTGCAGTAAAAATAGCTTGTATGGCGGTAAATTTTACTGCGTATTAATTTTTTTTTAAATTTTTTTCCAGAAATATAAAACTATCTAAAGAACTGTAAAATTATATTGCTTACTGCATTTTAGTTATGAAACCTTAAAATTTAATCTGCAGTATAATTTATACTGTATTTTAGTTGGGAAATCACGCCAAATTGTTAATTTTTTTCGTTTGCAGTAAGTGAAAACTGTTAAATAAAAACCATTCTAATAGTCTTAGAAATAAGTAAGTTAATTCAATAGAAAGCTTAAGAAACCCGCTTTCAGAATCACTAATAAAACGAAAAATCACAAAAGGGCTGTTACTGCTCTTTAGTCTCTGGTGGGCAGAGCTGATAAACATAACTTTTGGGAGATAAATAACCGCGCAAAATGTTTTCTCTTTTTTAAGTTTTTTGCGCCGTTTAGATTCAGCGAGAATCTAAAACTTCAAATTAGGTTCACTAGTAGAGCCGAAATTAAAATTAAGAAACAGGGAAAAATTCTCATTTGATTTTTTTAGGAAATTACTGATGTTGAAATACCCATAGAATAAAAGATGTAGAAAAGAAAATTTTACATTAAAGGGCAACTTAAAAAAAAATTTGAATATGTACTTACCGAAACCATCTGAATCGCTGCCAGGGTATGCGGGGCACGGTTGTACCATTGTTGCCGCTCTGGAAAGAACGTCCAACGCTGATTCTATCTTCTCCATTGCTTCTGAGGACAATAAAAAAAAGTTAAAAGCATTTTTTTTAAATCGGATAAAAGCATACATCATCATAAGGATATCAATTATAATTTTTACTGTCATTTTCTCACATTTTCACTTCATCATCATCATCATCATCAGCCTATTAATGTCCCCACTGCTGGGGCACAGGCCTTCCCTATGGATGGAATAGGGAGATTGGGCCATGACCCACCACGCGGGCCCAGTGCGGATTGGTGGGTGCTAACGACTGCAGATGCAGCCGGGACCAACGGCTTAACGTGCCTTCCGAAGCACGGAGGAGCTCGAGATAGTAAATTTTTGGTCACCCATCCAATGACCGACCACTGCGAAAGTTGCTTAACTTCAACGACCGCAGCCGAACGCGCTAACCACTTGCGCCATTGAGCTCCTTCATTTTCACTTAAAACTCATTTTTTTTATACTGTAGCAGTTAATAACCTGTCATGATCGCATGTAGGTACTCAATTTATTTGTTCCAAATAAATTCATATTATTATTCAAAGGGGAATAGATATATCTTCGAAACCATGTCTAACCAATATATTTTACGAATAATAACAAAATCGGATCCATCATCATAAACTACGATCTGAAAAACTATTGTGGGCGACAAATTTTGACCACTTCTTGTCACCTTGGCTTAATCTCAGACAAGACTAATGCTAAATGTGGCATTGAATTGTAGCTAAGAGCATTCTCAGACATACGATTTTGAGTATTATATGATAAAGTTTAGTTTAAGTCTATTTCTTGCTGTACACAGACCCAAGCAACAACTTTGACAGCTCCGTAATTTCCGTGTAGTTCCTATGAAAACAACGCCCCTACCGGACGTTAGAACAAACTGGCTGTTTGCATACAAAATTTGACGGCGATGATACCATTACAGATCTGTCAAAGTCCATGTTTGGGTAGGGTTAGGAATTTCAAAAGTCCTGACAAAAATCCTGACATTTCGAAAAGGTTCGGATTTTTTAGTCACAAAATGGCTTAGATTAAAACAAAATGTTTTAATCTAAGCAAAATGGTACAATTACTCACTTATATAGTTACAATGGTATGGTATTTAATCAATATGTACTTTTATTATTCATATCCAATGTAATTATAAAAATCCGGACAATTTAAAGGCAGAGCATCGATGGTATTGTGTATGTGATATTTGATTTCTTGAAGATAAGTATGCCTTACATTACAATTACTGTATTCCTATTTTATTGAAAACAATCTAGAACAATAACATAATTATTGTTCTAGATTGTTTTCAATAAAATATGAGCACTTGGACGAATATAAAGTACTAAGGCAAAACAAACCGGATAAGTGCGAGTCGGATACACACACTCGTTTGTAGGTTCGAAATATATCCGTATCTCATTTTTACGTTAACTTAGACTTCGATTTTTTGACAACTTCAAGGGACCGTAGACTTGAGTATATTTTATAGTTTAAATTTCATCTCGATACCTCCACGCGTTCCCGAGATAAAGGGTCTTGACTTGACAGATATCTGTTTGTCAAGACAACAAGAAACGGTCGTATCTTTTTTTGCGTAAACTTAGAAGTCAGATTTTTTCACAGCTTCAAGGGACCGTAGACCTAAGTATATATATGGTTTGAATTTCAAATCGATACCTCCACGCGTTCCCGAGATAAAAGGTCTTGACATACAGACAGACAGATGGTCAACATCCTATGAGAGTTGCGTTTTTTTATTTAGATATAGGGAACGCTATAATCTAATGAAAATGTATTTATGTTTTAAAGAATGTAGGTATTGGATCTTTGAACTAGGTACTACTGCATTAGTTAAAACATATTATTTCATTACTTATCCATATAAATATTTGTTTAGTTTTATATTTTCTTGTGATATAAGGCTCATTTGCTTAAACAAAACATATCGTAGATTTTGAGAGGGAGAGAAAAACAGAGCATACAAATACGTTGTTGATTTTCCTTATATTTTTAATACTAATGTATCAGATCACAATATCAGAATGATTCAGACATTGTTATTTTACCTACTTTATATTATACTTTTTATTATGTTATGACTAAAATGACAGAATCAATAAATATAATATTTGCATTGCACAATATTGCACATCGACTGAACGGATGTTTAAACAATATTCAATTGAGATATACTATAGTAAAATTATTAATCGAAAATAAATTAAGATCATAAAACTGTAAACTGCAACGTGATCCGTAAAAAACAGTGCAGTGCTAAATGCCGATTTTGTTTAAAATCGATCAAAATAGCAGGCATATTAGCCGCTTTTTTGTTTTAATCTAAGCATATTATTCAACAAAACCAACATTCCAGGCAACGACTTTTAAAATCACAGTAGGTGTACTAAAGACAGAAAATACGTCTGCGAGCGATCGAAAAATATTTGGCTCGCTCGCAGACCGTAGAAGTAAGGAATGCAAATACTGTTTCGGCGGAAATTCCTCATATCGTAAACGGCTAGACGGAGGAGAGACGGCCCCGTGGCCCGCGTAAATAACAGGAGTCAGATGATCAAACAAAGAGTTGAAACGTGGCGGTCGCATACCGCTGCCCGGGAACGCGGCCAATGGACCACTTTACCACGCATCTGACATAATTCTGAATACAATAAACTTTAAACTATTAAAATCAAATACAATGACATAATTTTTAACTATAGGAAAAGCAAAAGTTTCTATACGCATGATGCCCTAAGATGCACTAGAATTATTTTGTCTAGCGTTCCATTATAACTCAAGGCTTTGAATATTAATAGTAGATTATGCATCAACGGAATTAGGCTATTTTCTGATGGTATCCAGATAATATACATTACAATGGAAAATTTTCTCAAAAAATGAAAAATGCTTCTTCACGATTCTCAAAGACGGATTATCGCGATTTTCAGGAAAACTACAACTGCTATCGAATAAATGACAATGAAAAAAAAATAAGTAATTAAAAGATCTACTACTTTTGTATTCACATTTTTTTTCATACATTTAAAAATTTCTGCGACTTAAGGTATTAAAAACTGTAAATACAAAAGTTGTGGCTGGCATGGGTTCCAAATGTTTTTTTTCATTTTTACGATTTTCAGAGGCATCCTCTCAGGCTTATATAGCCCCTGCATTCTTTCAAGATAGTGTCTAGACAAATAAATTTATTATTCGATCGTTAATTGTATTGAATAAAGCGGACCAAATATTGTGATAATAATAAACGAGATTCGCATAGTTAAATCGCATTGCGGCGAAATATTTCTACGACGGTCATGCCAATCTATACAGATAACATTGTTATTGCTTAATTAACTGAATGTCTCCAGATAGTCGTGGAATTTCAGAAGATAAAACGCCCACATTATCTAATGACACTATAATAAACTATTAAATGCATACCAAAAGAAATAAATCTGCTCCAAAGCATGGTCTAAATAAGAATAATGAAGACAGAATGTCCGGTATGTGGAGAATGATATTATACTTTCAAAAGTGAAGAGGCACTGTTATGAGTTGTGACAATAAAATTGTTAACATGTCACGCGACGACGAGGCGACGAGATGAGACGTCGTACTTACGTGGGAAAAAGGGATGGATAAACAGAATAAACAAAGCTGTGATGGACGTAATGATGAGGAATTTGGTACATCGACCACATTAGAATTCTTCTGGCCTTAGGCATAGTCATGAGTGCGATGCCCTGTAGGGTTTAATAAATCGTCTGTCTGTTTTTGAGCTTGCCTCCGGACAATTTTACTTGTCTAAAGACCGGTTAAATACCATGCCAAAAATTGCCACTGTTTTGTAGCATCTCGTGTTTATATAATGTGCAGATTTTGATGGTTCGTTTGATCTGAAATGTTGAAAATTACAAAACAACTGATTCTAAAGAAAAAGAAGTCAGAATAAATACTTGAATTTAACACCAAAGAAATATTCGATAATACTATTTGTTTCTTAGGTTTTCACGCACATCACCCATTAAATAACCGAACGCTCAATAAAAGTCTTTCGAAGGTAGCTCGACAAATTAAATAAAAGTTTAATTCTGACGACGTAGCCTGTAAAGGCTACGAAACGTCAATAAATAAATAAAGTTTCGTGCATTAACCCGTAAAAACTAGTTTTATTTATTCGATAATACTATACATACACAAATAGGATGCAGCATTATAATTGAATATTGGTCGGATGAAACTAAAATTACGCCATCTAACACACGAGCAAATACTCTCCATGTAATACACGAGTACACTTGTAAAAGTAAGTAGTTTACGCATCAATTCAATTAGGATACGGTTCTTGGTATGAATATCTACCATTATTTTAGCTATGTATATATAAGTAAGAAAATAACTTCTTTTATCACCTGCCAGTCTTTAAAAGAGAACCAATGGTGGGTGAAACCTTGACATTCCGAATGTTAAAAATAATAATCTATTTTAGTTAATTGGTAGCATATTCTAAGTTTCAACTTTAGGTGTATGTAATAAGGCTGGAATTGGCGATAATGTTGGAGGATGCCCATATTTTAGGGTGCGTATTACTTTCCGACAGAGGCTACCCCTGCTGTGCCCGTGCGCACGTGGCCAAGGGGGCCGAATTGAAGAACGACAGATGTTCGTAAAAACTTGAACGGATGCTACACTAAAGGAATATATGTACCTACATATAATTATAGTTTCTGCTTGTTCCATATTGAGGAATATTTACGATACGAGATTGGTTATGTTCCTTGAATGATGTTGGTATTTCATTATTAAAATAAAAAAATCTATATAACTTATCGAATCAACGAGAGGTAGTACCAAAAGATTTAAACCAAATTGTTTTTATGAATATTTGGTTCCAGTTGGCTTTACAGATCGCCAGGGCTGTTTTGATTGGCTAGCACAAACACGAGGTAAACGAACAATCTAGGTCGGCGTAAATTCCATAAGAGTTCGATCATCCTCATTGTGCGACTGCCTAAAATTGATCGTTTCTCGATCGATTATTTCGATATTAGGCCACGGTGTTTTCGGTTCATATCACATATCTTTTTTTATTCCAAACAGGTAAGGAAGTACAAGGCGATGTAAGAGAAAAACTTAATAGATACTTATTTGTCAATAGTCTAAGAAAAAGTAACAAAAGACTAGACAGATTTCATAAGAAATGTTTGCGAAATTGATATCATTTTTTGTCTCACCAAACGTGGCAAATAACTGTCTGTGTTTTGTAAAACGAAAATTTATGTTTAAAGTGATCGCCTCATCGAATATAAATGGGATTTTTTGATTAAATAGCACCATAATCATAAAAGACGATGAAATAACATATAAATATTTTATCAGTGCATCTTTTTACACCATCAACACCTAGCAATGAAGTACTATACAAATGCATCATAAAACTCATGGAATCCAGCTACGTGAGTCAGCTAGTAATTAGAATCCCGAAATCCTACAAAGGATCCAGGGCAATGGCTTAAGAGCTATATCAGGTGTACCACGGTACACAAAAAATATTGAGATTCATGAATATCTGAACATGCTAACTATGCTATTAAATAAAAAGTTACATATTTGTGTAAAATACAAAGATAGGCTTTAAGGGCACACAAACCAACTCGGCAGAAAACTGGGTAGTGTAAATGATGACGTAGCTAGATAGAAACGATAGCGAATACTGAAACTGGATCAGAGACACTGAGTTGAGGATGGACTCTTAGGGTCAGGATGGGAGAGTATTTGCTGAAATACCTCTCAAAACAGAAACAGGAAACATAAAATCTGATTATACCTAGCTGACTAGCTGATTGCAGATAGTTGTGTTAAAAGAAAAACTTTTTATTTGTCAAGTTTTGAAATAGGCGGTGGAGTAAGTAAGGTATGCATGATTGTAATTTTATATATATATTGCCTATACATTACCATTGCGGAGCTGACTCATTAAAGGTACATTAACATCAATCAAATAGAAATATGCAATGATCTCAAAGGCAAACCTTGTCGATGCCACATTTGGTATTGATTAGGTTAAAGATGTTGTCAGGAAACATATCGGTTGCAACAGCTACTGAAATGACCCTGTCCTTTGATAGACTTTTCTATCTACATGGAAACGAATTCTGCATTTTACTTAACTCCAAGTATATGTTCTTAGAATAATTAGGTACGTAAGAAATGTAGTTTTAATTTGATGAGCTACAGGTAAATTTATGTAGAATAACTAATAAGCTAGGTTGTATTATTAGCGATAAAATTCCTCCGATTTCATAAAAAATAGATGTATGGTTAGTCATTTTCTTATGGATAGATATTTGTTGACGGAGTTCCCTGTATTTAAATTATTCAATAATATATTGTCTATTTGGTCTGCCAGTGTAGGTAGTTGTTACGATAAGTAGTCGTTCATTATGTATGCAATTTAAGCGATACTGGATGATGCGCAGGTAAGGTAACACAGATCAAGGTAGAAGTGGACTGGAGATTATTAATTAAACTGATATGTATAATTTCACGTATCATAAAAAAGTATGGGTACCGATAAATCACTGATGACCTCCGTAGCCGAGTGGTATATATGCCGGGTTTCAAGGTGTCGCCTACTCAGAGGTGCTGGGTTCGAATCCCGGTGAGGGCAAATGTTGATGAATACGAGCACAGTTTTTTTATCCTTTACCGTATAATCCCATAACACAGGCCATACAGTGCTTACTTTGAGGCTAGGTTAATTGGTGTGAAAAAAATACATCTCAAGATCGCATCACCTGAACAAGAATATTGAATGAATGGAATTTGGTGAAAAAATTTATACTGTCAGTACACAAATCACATTCCTCATCATCGCGTACAGGATTTTTCAAATTAAACACCTACAAAATAAATCTATAAATATCGGAGAATAGAAAAAGTTTTGGAAACTATAATTTTAGACAAACTGCAGTTAATAAATTTGCAATTTGTAACTTTCGGTTCTTGGTTATTTTGATGTTGAGGTGTGTATAGTGCGGGACTGTGGATGTATTGAAATTCTAGATCTCAGATAATAATTTAACAAATTTTGTCTAGATCTAACCTGTCCCTTATCTTGTATTTTAAAAAAATCTCAAGATAATGCACACAGTATACTGTAAATTTGTCATTCTATGGAGTATATCGGTTGTCGATAAATATTGATTTCATAAAAATAAGCGAAGTATAAAAAATATTGATTTTATACAAAGCAATGATGTAAAAGACATCGCAGCGCAGAAAGCTTAGAAAGTTAATTACCTCTCCCAAATTTCATAAGTATAAAGATCAAAAGTAAGATTTATACAGAAAATAAACTATTTCTGGTGTGTCTACCAAGTATCTACAATCACATAACGGGTTTAAATTGTTTCCATTGTCAGTGTTTAGTTGCGCTAATCCATCGTATGGAACCATTCGGGGTCACATTGGCTAATCGGGTGAATATTTTATCGCTCTCTTATCACCACCCACGTTAACCATGCTTCGATCGAGTACCGCGCATCGCCGTAACTAAATAACCAACGAATTCCATCCCATCAATAGGTAGGTACGTAAGTATAATAAGTACATGAATGTTTGTAGCGGGCGCGTTGCGCGTAGCGGCGAATTTTTTGCGGAGCGCAATTTGAACCAGTAGGTAGGCAGACCGCACATACAATTACATAGCAATGGTATGTGGTATCTACTTGTTCGAATATTGACAGAAACGATACCACTTTGGGTAGGTACCCAAAGTAGGTAAGGATATCCTCGATACCTAATTTTTTTTTTTTATTATTGGTGTGTTTTGCGATAGGAACTTACTTGTTTATTATGAAAAAAATATATGGGTTGCTAGAATAGTAGATAATCTACATTGAGTTAAGATTTTTTCAATGTAATTACTGCATGTCATGCAAAAAGTATAAGAAAAACAAACTCACTAAATAGGGTTTCCCACGACGTTTCACAAAATCCTAATTAACAGTGCTCAGTTTCACTAAATTAACGTCCTTGATTACTTACAATGTCCTTTGTTTTGAATGCAAACTAATAAATAAAGTTATTGAAACTTCATAACAATGTTTAAACCGGTGGCGGCGAATAAAAATCGATATGCACGAAACTGCAATAGCTCCCTTTACGCCCGTTTTATTTATCACGAATAGCAGCCACGCGTAGTGTTCAACGAAAAAACTTATCGTATTCACTGCCTTTTATTAACATTGTCCATGAAATTCACTGTTTTATTTGTTGTTATTTTATAAAATCCAACTAGCGCGCCACGACTCTGTTGACGAAATAGTCGCGTTTGACATTTGAGCCGAGCCCACTGCGATAGGAATCCATGGAATGTCAAATATTTTCAGTGCTGCCATCTGTCTAAAAGAATGCGACACGGTGCAAAGGCGGCACACTGGAGTGTTTGCGAGCGCTTCTTATAATTTGAATGTTCTCACGTTTTAAGTAATTCAATGAAGTCTTCCTTAAGTACGAGAACGTAAATAGAAAAATAACAATGAGTTATATTTAAATTTTTGTATTTCGTTTTGTTGCGGCTGTGATATGAAAGTGAGGCGGCGCGGCTGTGCGAATTCATTGGAATGTTTCGAAGTAGTGCTGCCTCTGAGACGTCACTACATGGCGCGGCTTGGCGCAGGCGTGATGGCTGGTCTGCCGCGCGTAGGGTTATCGACACAAGCTCGGGTAGGGTCAGCACAGCCTGCGCATGTTGCGTAGCGTGCGTGACAGATTTTTGCTCTGTTCTGGTACTTGCACCAGTTAAAAGTAAAGAACTAAGTAATTATAGTGTCTAAGTAGTAGATAGAAATAATGCGGAATGTTGCTACAAACGCTTTTTTACATGCTGCAATTATTTTTATGTAGGTATCTAACCTTCAATTAGTAAAGTATTATAGGTTGATATTTACTTACCTTTGCTTCAAGTTTTTTTAACTTAAGCATTGTAGGTAAAGCAATTCGTCCGTAGTAGCGACTTAATTAAAGAAAAATGATCATGAATATAAATATCTACATATGAACCAAATAGTATCTAAGCTTTTTATAACATGAAGAAGCAATAAATCCAAGAAGTGTATACGGAAACTTTCATCATGTGCAAACAAGTCTTCCTTTAACTCGCAGTAAATTACCTATACCCAGAAGAAGTATACATACATTCATAATCAAACACAGATCTAAATTAAGTGTTTTTCAAATTTACTGCCAATAGCCATTTAATTTAAACATCGATGTTTTCTCAATTTGTATTTCGGTAATTAGTAGTGGCGTCATCTATCAATATTCTTAGGAAGTAAGTAAGCATTACCTTGCCTCAATGCTTTGCTTTAGAGAGAAGTATCTACAACTTTTAGAGCAGATATTCTGAGCTGAGCATTTTGTTCATTGAAACCTCCACATTTTGATAGTATACAAAAAATAAACATTTCTATGTAAATTTTCTCAAGAAATGCTATTCACTTTAATAAAAAAAAACATTGATCGTCAGGATATGACAACTTTTTCAAAATATTTTTTTTGACGTGAGAATTTGCGATTGAAATTAAGGATCTAAAAAGTATCCTGGTTACTTTTTAGATGTATTATCAAAAGATGAGGAAAACTAAAAATTTTTGAATAAAAAATAGAGCGTCTTATGGATTTATTTGAAAGAGTTAAGTTTTCACTGTACATAGGTATTTGGTAATACATGAACGCTGCAAAAAATCCAAAATGTGGGTCATTTCGATTTTTCGCAGATGTTTTTGGGTTATGTGAAAAAAGTGTACTCAAAAGTTGTAGATTTTGAACTACCTATATTGAGCCCTTTTTTTCATTCATAATGGTAATTTCCCTGAAATAGCGATAAACTGTTTTGAACCCTTAAAAGTTCACCGGGCCACTCTTTTCGAGCTTAAATCCCTTTGGTCCATTGTCTTTTTAACCGTTTTTCTTAACCATTGAAAGAAGATTTTTTATTAAATTTTTTCCTAACTGTAGTGTTCCTCTGTAAGAACAAATTCACCCTTTACCTCGTAATCCGTGGTGTGATTTAAAATTGGAACACAGATTTCATTTATAAATTACAAAACACACCGGCGCGGCGTCTTCCGCGGTGAAGTGAGTTTATTCTTACAGAATAGCACCACTGGTTGAGAAAAATAGTAGAAAAAACATTATTCACCGAGAGGAGAAAGTGACCGATTACCACAGAGGGTGTAGTTTCAGGCCCGAGCCGCAGCCAAAGGCCTTAATACACCCAAGTTGGGAATAGCAATTTCTTTCGAGGGATACATAGTGCTTTCTATTATATCTACGAGTAATTAAAGACAAATTCTTTAATTGGAATTTATATTAAAGTTACAGTTACTTTGTAATATTAAACTTTTGCCTGGCAGCTTGATATTGGTTTCTTGATTTCGTGGGTAAAGGTTCTCAATAACTGTTTAGATAGTTTCTTTTAATTCTGGCGGTGTCAATAAATCTGCATTATCAGTAATATACGTCTTCTCGAGTAGATAGGATCACAAATTAAAAACTCAAAAAAAAAAACTCAGTTGAAATAAAATAATCAGCGCCCTTTTTGTTTTTTTTTTAGTTAGCATTATTAAATAAAAAAAATAGATCGCTGTCTGCAAAATCAAATTGACCACATTTCGGAAATTAAAAGAAAAAAAACAGCATGTTAACAATTAATTTCCAAAGACTTTTCAGTCTGCTGAGCGCGTTAAAAATGGATTTCCATACACTTTCCAGCCCGCTTAGTACAATAATAATGAGGTCCTTTCTGCTTCATTTTTTAAATAATAATTAAGCACTTTCCGAGTAGTTAGGTGTAGTTTAAAAAATATTTTATCCGTTTTCCATAATTGGTTAAAATATCAGTTAGGAAAATTGAAAAAAAAAGTCAAGTTACCCCATTTTTTCTATATATTCTCTTTTTTAAAATAGGTTTAATCATGTTCTAATTTATTTAACTAGCCTATACTCATAACTTATTTATTAAAATTGTGAGTATAAAGCTTATTACTTTCACGTACTTAATGCCCAAAAAAAAAAACAAAGACACCCAGAAAATTTAGTATTTGGAGATTGGTCAAATTGGCCTAAATGCAAATAAAATATTGACATATCGTGGTTATGCAGGCAAAACCAATTATGCGACATTTAACCAAATGGAGAAATCCGCTACATAAAGTTCAAAGTCCTTTTAAAGTTTTAAAGATCTTTTTAATGCAACCAGAAGTATGGTCATGGTGGGGCTGAATTCATCATTTTGGGTTAAAGTACAACTTTAATATGAAAAAGAAAAGGGAAGTCTGCAAATTATTTGTTCAAACAAAAAATGGACCATTCGTAATTGGTTTTCCCTGGTGAATAAAAATCGTGATTATCTAGAGAATCATTCACATTACGTATAAATATCATAAATGACGTGGTAGTATTTTAAATGTAATATCTACATACTTTATAAAAAAACAAATGTACACAAAATTGTGAGCACATCTACGATAATTCCTAATTTAAACTTGGTTTTTCCTGAACTAGTTAGGAAGAGAAATATGGTAAGTCATCAAAACTTAAAAAAAATGTACTAAATTAGTATTTACTGAATAAAAATAAAAATACATACTCTTCATCGGAAAGCGTTGCATCAGGTATTACCTGATCCTTTTTATCTTTTTCACTTGGAAGTGATTTGAACCATTCCTGGTATTCTTCGGGAATAACGTTTTTTGCACATAAATTAATTAAAACTTTTTCTTTGCGTCACTGTGGGCACAGATAGATATTGTTTACTGGAAGGCATATTTAATCTGACATCCTAAACAATCATTAAAAATATTTCCGCCAATTTACATAAAACCTTAATGAATTATACAAAATGTCGAAATTATAGACAAAATTGAGCCTCTTCAATTACGCCGTGACGTGGCGTCACTAAGCACGTTCTATCGTCTGTACCACGGCGAGTGTTCTCTCTTATCCCACCTTCTCCTTTTCTTCAGAGGACCACGCGCGCTGGCCTACGTTGTCACCGTCTAACTGTCGCCACAATTCCAGCGCGTCCAAAGAAATTTGGTGACTCATTTCTTTGTTACACTATCCGTAAATGGAATGCTCTGCCCGCTCACGTGTTCCCTCCCTCTTACAATCTGGGATCCTTTAAAAGAGGCGTGAAGAAGCAACATGCAGGCCGGCAGGGTGAGGATGGCTGGTGTGGCAGGTAAAACTGCTGTATCAGCTTTCTTCACGTCTGGACTTCACCTTCACTTAACATCAGGTGGGGTGGTCATTTGTCGGACCTATCTGTTGCTCAGGTAGGTAGAAACTTCAAAGGGTGCTTACATAAAGAAACAAGTTACCTGGCACATACAATGATTCTTAAGCACCCAAATTCTACCATACCAAAACATACTTAAACAGCAGAATCAGGCCCTTAAATGTTATTTCGACATTTTGTTACATTCTGTACAGTATACCTTATGAATCTCACATCAAATTAGACAGTACCAGTACAAACTGGGCTCTTATTCGTACTACGCAGGGTACAGACAAGAGCTCAGCGTATACTGGTCTATATAGGCGAATGCTACACGCTCGATATGTATCTCGATATTTACCGTGATATTTATCTAGTAATATTTTCTTATACTACACACACGATACGAATCACGTCAGTACGACAGTAAATTTCATTGAGTACACTCGTAAGTTTCGTATTACAATATAAATAAAGCTATGACTGATAATATAAAATACCCAAGACTTTGGATTGTACATAGGGTTAACAACTTTTTTTCTATCAAATATAGTATTTTCGAAGCTGTTACCTCTAAAATATAGTAGAAGGCAAAAAAATGGAAAAACATATAGTATATGATTAAAATATTTACTTTATTTTTAAAGGACATTGCTCGTTCCCCATACATTGAATGCCCTAGAACGCCCAGCAATGAGAAAATGCTAGTTGTGTTCGGAATCATTCATAAATTCTAATTAGGCATTCGTTGAGATACGGACAACTTGAGGAACCGTGGCCTACTACAGAATGTATTAGATGTGGAGGTTATAATTATTATACTTAATCGTAAAAGATGTACACTTTATATTATATTCTGAATAGATTTAGTGTTTTCCTCTATGTAAGCACTTAAATAATATGCATTAAATGAATATAAAATGCAATTAATAAAAATAATAAATGCTTATATTCATATTGATTTATGAGTGTTTCTCACAATAGATTTCTTTTCAAATGAAATGTTCAAAATCTTTCGATTTACCCGTTTCTATATTTTACTATCGGTAATAAGGTATGTACAACCTGGATATCATTGTGATTTTCATAAAAATAAACATGTATTATACGAGATGGGAGTATGTATAAACTATCT